TCCAACGTTTTAACTGCACAATTGGATGGGATATGATAAAGGAATAACATATTAGCCATCCAGTAGAGATCGGAAGGCTCAAACTGGATGCTGAAGAACCGAGGTCAAAGTTCTGATACCATGTTAAACTTCTGAATCCTCCAGAAAAATCATTATGTATTGATTAATCATCAAGAATATACAGAGTCCCCTATATATAAACGGCTAATCGGTTATTAATAATAATGAAATAATCTAGTCTTATCAAGAGAGTGCTAATCAGTTATTGATAATAATGAACTAATCTTGAGTTATTGATAATAATGAACTAATCTTGAGTTATTGATAATAATGAACTAATCTAGTCTTATCAAGAGAGATATCTACTTCAAATACAAGATAACTTAAAATTAAAAACTATCATCAACTATCTATATCTCCTCGACTATCTTTATCTCTACAGTGTCTCTACACGGGGTTAGATTCAATCCATCTATATCTCCTCGACTATCTTTATCTCTACAGTGTCTCTACACGGGGTTAGATTCAATCCACAACAAGAAGTTTGTTAATCATATTTTTATTCATTTTAATTTTTCCTCATTATTTTATTACTTTTTGGAAAAATGCTTAGAAAAAAAAAGAAGTCACTTTTTTGTAACTATTATGTTACATTTTTGTTGAGGCTTTTGTTCTAGGGCGTGTTATGAATGATCTAGATAATTTACTTGTTGATTTAAACTTGTTCCTCAATTGATGGAGCGACGTTGGGGCTGACACCGATCAGGATGACTATGAACGATCATATCGTTTCTTTTGGTATTAGATTGCATATTTTGACTTGTTTACTTATAGGAAAAAGTTTGCAACCTTAAAACATAGAATTAAGGTTATACCTCAAAAATCAATCGAAAAATGTTGTTTTAATTTTGAAAAAGCCTCTAATTGATCATCTCGACATTGAGATATACGAATACGAAAAAGAAAAAGATTTCCAGTACCAGAAATAGTGCACTTTCAACACATTATCTAGACCATCTATTTTCAAGGTTTTCATATGTTAATAGATCTACTTGATTTAAATTATTTTTGGAGTTTAAAATTTTATAATTAGAGTTGGAAATAGATTTTCAAGCAATTTAAAATTTTCTTTTTCCAAAATTACATCTTATGATAAAATTTAGAGATGCACCTTAATTGGATTGTTTATGGTCGCAGCCTTACCAACCACACCCTTACTTATGTTATTGATATGTTAAATATTGGGATTTAGTGCTTTTTACTTTAGAATGTGAAACAACTGGGAGGCACTCGAACACAAACTAAATTCGGTATTTGCTCCTCTTCAATAATTTATCAAAATATGTAACATATTCGTTAAACTTTTGTCTTGCAAAAAACAAAGACAATTTTTTTATTAATATTCCAAATTTTTACATGCCTCCTCAACCGATTCAATCAATCCGAGTTGGTCTAGTCCGGTTCACCGAACCAAACCGAGACCTATATGTGCCCTGGTTCGAGCCACCAGTTGGTATTTTTAAACACAGTTGAATACTGACATATTTTTGTAGCCTTGTACTAATGCACTAAAGTCTAACATGGTTTTTCCAAATGAAAGTCTCCCCATCCACATGGTTGAGATCAGTGTTTTAAAGGTCATTGATTTTCAATTCAGATGGAAATAGGCCAGGACTTAACGCGTTTAGGATGGTATGAGTCCCGACCCGATCCCACGTAAAACGCCCTTATAAGTCTTTTTTAAAAAAAAACAAAGAAAAGAAAAGAAAAACTTATCCAACTTTTCTTGGGTCCCCTCTAAATTTTCACCCCATCAAGCCCTTATTTTAATTTGAGTAATGATCCTATAGGACCCCAAAGGATCACAATTAAAGTTGGCATGAATCTCAAAAAAAGTTATGACATGGGTGTAGGATTTGACTTTTCTATATATCAATGCTAATTTAATGGTGATCCTTCGGGGCCCTACACACATGGGTGGGGGAGGGTCCTATAGGATAATTTCTCTTTTAATTTTTATTTTATTTCATTTTTGTTTAATATTTTCTGGATTACCAGATCCAATAATTCAACATGGATCTGTGGGGTGAACGATTTGCTCCACCGGTCTAGGTTTTGAAATATTAGTTTGGATTAACATGACTACATCTAACTGCCACAAAAGTGTTTCGTATTTTATTTTTTATTTGATATATTTATCTCAAATTTGGGATATGGATGCATTTTTAAATGACATACTAAATAAAAATAATAAGAAATATTTTTTAGGGAAATTATCGCAAATACACCTTAATTTAAGCTTAATTGAAAAAAAACACAAACTTTTCCTTATCTCGTCTGCCCATTTTTTTCTTTATTTTTGGGTTTTTTTTTTTTTTTACCAAAATAACTTTCACGGTAGTCGTATTACCGCAATAGTTAGTGCATATTATACGATACTTTAAGTACCTTAATACTTAGATAATTTTATATGGTACTTTTAGTACCGTAATACTAAGGGCATTTTATACGGTACTTTAAGTACCGTAAACTTACAGTAATCCTTATACAACTTACACTAACCCTTATACGGTATTTTAAGTATTGTAATTACAAACCCATATTATACGGCACTTAAAATGTCTTAAACCCTTTCCTCATTATGTTTATCCCTTTCCTCATTATGTTTATCTCTTTTATCTCTAATTCTTTTTATGTTTATCTATTCTTTCTCTCTCTAATTCTTTTAAAAATGAAAGAGATAAATATAAACAGGATGAAAAAAGATTTATGGCATTTTAAGTGCCGTATAAGATCGGATAGTGTTTACGATACTTAAAATACCTTTAATTTTTATGGTACGTAAAGTACCGTAATTGGCTTCACAGTATGGCCAGAGTTTTACGATACTTAAAGTGCCGTAATATTATTTGAAGTTACTACGGTATTTTAAATACCGTATAAAATGATATGTATTATGGTAGTAAGACTACCGTGAAGATCATTTTGATCCAAAAAAAGCAAAAAATGAAGAAAAATGGTGTAGACGAGATAAACGAAAGTTTGGGGTTCTTTTTTTCCAATTAACCTTAAATTAAGGTATATTTGTGATAATTTTCCTATTTTTAAAACTTTTTTGCCAAAATTACGTTTGAAATAATTTAGGGGAATTTTGGTCAAATATGTTGTTCATTTTTTTTTAATCGGGTGCATCATATAAAATTTCATCTATATCTCAAATTTCAAATACATCAAAATTTTAAATAAAATAAAATATGACTTTTTTTTTCTAGGCAATTGAATATGGAAAAAGTTTCTACAAGTTGTCAAACCTTATACTATATATATATAGCAGATGTTCTAACACTGCAAAGCCTTCCAATTGTTGAGCTTACCCTACGTATGGATATGAAAAAAAACATGATTTCAAGTATTGAAATGGTGCATATTATAGCACCTAATGTCAATCACATTTTAAGATTTTTAAGTAGATCTACCTGATTTGCCACATTTTTTAAGTTTTATATTTTATGATTATAGACGACCACAATTTTTTAGGCCATTACAAAGTTTTCCGACACAAAAACTACATCTTTTAGCATTATTTACTGGCACGACTTATTTAAATGGTTTAAAGTTGACGTCTTATACAATCAACACCCCAATAGATATGTTAGATTCAATCTGAACCGTTAAAAAGTGTTTGCGTAACTTTTAAACATCCACATCATACCACCCCTTGTTCTGTTCGATGCTACTGGACACAATTGTTTTGTCACGACCCCACCACTTGAACCTTGTCGTACTTACTGGAGGGAAACATGGGTTAAGGGCCGGGTCGTGACATATTTCTTTCCATAAATATCTACATATGTTCTCTTCACATTTTTCTTTTTTATTACCTTCACGTTATTCACATCTTACTGGGGGTCCCCTACAATAAAACCAATCAATACCTCTCACTGCCTCTCAGATATTGGGCACACGAACGAAGGTCTCTCTTTGTGGGGATCTCCTTTTATTCCTTTCACATAAGCACATATCATCCCCGAGACACACATGGGACATGAATTGTAAAGTTAGGGCAGCAACGGGCCAGACGGCCGGGCCTAGTTCTAAAAAAATAGGGACTTCGCCACAACCTATAGCCCAAAGGTGGGTTTGGGTTTATGATAATGTAACATCTTTACCGTAAGGGTAAGGTTTGTATGAGGTAACCTTATACTATTGATGTAATGTGCATCTCAAAATTATGTTGAAAATGCAGATTTGGTGCTTCAAAACCTTGCGATGATATGAAAATCTGTTGTTGTTTTCAATTATGAAATTTAAAGTTTCAGAAATGGTGCCGATTAAACAAATTTATAAACACTTGAAAATCTTAAAAATAGATGGTCCAACTAATGTATTAAAAAATTAACTATTTTTTAAATTAAAAATCTTATTTTTCATGTTTATGAATCTCGAGGTGGAAATGATTGATTTTATGGTTTTCCAGCATAAAAACAACAGTCTCTAGTGACGTTTTTATGTGCACCTTACTCGTACATTACAAGATTGACACTTTATATAAAAAATTTCCTTACTGTAAGCCTTCTTTGTTATTATTAAAAATTTCAAACATTGTTCTAAAAAAAACAGATGGGCTAGGGTCTGGTTTGGCATAACCATGCCCTCCTTTCTCTCCTTCTTTAAACTTTATTTTTTTAGTTGTTTGTAGCCGGGCCGGACCCAAGGCGCGCGTGACTTTATGTAAGTCCTCTTTCTCACTCTAAAATCTTTATTTTGAATGTTCTCTCTCTCTTACATCTTAGTCATGACGTTTCTTTCACTTTACTACCAACTATGAGCACGAGTGTCACACGCCTTAACGATTGAGCAAACATTTCGCTGAAATAAAAAAACACGTGCGAGAAAACCACCGCCTCTCATTTCTTTTGTGCGTTAATTGCGCGGATACCCTTGCCCTTTAAAGACCATCATTCAGCCATCCCTCCCCTCTCTCTAACCTCAAATCTCTCTCTCTCTCTCTAAACTTTGAGACGTGGATCCCCATTTTAAAAACCACTCTAAACCCCCATCCCTCACTCTCTCCCATCTCAAAAAACTCTTTTTCTCTCTTTAAACACACACTCTCTACCCAAAAAAGCCGGAAATAAAACCCCTTATTTAGAGCAACGCAAGAAGGTGGGTTCGAATTTAAAAGCAACTGTTCTGTGTATAAAACACCAAAGGTTTTGACCGTTTTCAGCTCACCCTTGTTTGGACGGGACCAACATCGGGTTATAACGCTTGACCACCTTCACTATTTTTCCTTTTTTCTCCCTTGTATGGACAGGACCAACATCGGGTTATAACCCTTGACCGCCTTCACCATTTTTCCTTTTTTCTCTCTCTCTAACCTCGAAATTCTCTCTCTCTAAACTCTCTCACTCTCTAAGCTCGACCAAATGGAACGAGTCCATTGCCCTCAGACCTCACATGAAAAATATCCAATATTGCCACCGGATGCCCTGGCTGCCACGTCAGAAATGATTGCCACGTGTTATCCGAGCTCCTCTTCCTCGATCTCACACGTCAGACTTAATGCCTTACATGTGTCCAACCACTGCAACTATTTACCCGAAAACGAAACATTATTTGCGAAACGTACCGTCTCTTCGGACGACGGCTACCGGAATTCGCCCTTTTCAAAAGACGCCTCTGCTGCCACGTCTGACGGTTTCTCCACGTGTTCACCGTCATCATCGTCCTCTCCCTTGGACGTGTGGTCCGAACCGCGCCACGTGCCGAAGAGAAAGGCGGGACGCAAGAAGTTCAAGGAGACACGTCACCCCGTTTTCCGGGGCGTACGTCACAGGAACGGAGGAAAATGGGTTTGCGAAATTAGGGAGCCCCAAAAAAAGTCACGAATATGGCTGGGAACGTACACGTGTCCTGAGATGGCGGCAAGGGCGCATGACGTGGCGGTCATCGCCCTAAGAGGGAAGGGCGCGACCCTCAACTTTGCTGACTCAGCATGGAGGCTACCGGCTGCCCGTACGACGTCACCGGAAGACATTAGGGAGGCCGCACAAACTGCCATTGAACACCTGACAGTGGCCGTAGCGGCTGCCACACCGGGGACGCAGAGCCGGAAACCGGCGCGTCCAAGCCGTGAATTGACGTCGTCGGTGGAGCCGTTATTTATAGACGTGGAGGCGTTATTTGACATGCCGGGTTTGATAACGGATCTAGCGGAGGGGTTGTTAATAACACCGCCTTCTTTTAAGGTGGTGTCCAGCTGGGATGACGTGGACTGCCACGTTGACTTGGATCTTTGGAACCAGTAATTATGGTTTCAACACGGTTTGACGTAGACCTTATAAATTTATTTATAAGGTGGATTTTTGGGCCTACTTTTAAACGACATAATCTTAAAATATAGAGACCATGAATATAATATATATATATATATATTAAAAATTAAAAATTAGAAATAATAATTTTATTTAAAAAAATTTAGACGGCTAGTTTCAAGTATTTTTAAGTAGACGGTCCATTTGCTTTCATCTTTAAAATGAAAGCTTTATACCTCATGGGACACAAATGTAGAAATGCGTCCTCCACTCACTTAAAAAAGCTGCTTTCATCTTTAAAATGAAAGCTTTATACCTCATGGGACACAAATGTAGAAATGCGTCCTCCACTCACTTAAAAAAGCTCGTGTTAAATGACGTGCTATGTGAATGGAATTACAAGGGACTTTTTAGTGCTCGACATGGGGTAGACTTTGTTAAGACTCTTCTCTTCTCTTTTTTCCTTTTCTTTTTCATTGATTTAATTGAACTTGGGTTATGATTTTAAAGGCACACTTTAGTTTAATTGATTTCAGGGTTGATCATGAAAAGTTTTATTTTAATTCTTCTAGATATTGTGATACATTAGGTGCTTATGTCTGTGTTCATTAATGCCTGTTTGTGTTCTTTGTTTGCTTTATTCAAGCATGAACCAACCACAAAATAACTTTGATAAGGAAAAGTATAACAATTTATTTTTAGCATAAGGAGGTCGTAATCACGGTTCTTTTTTAAATTTCAAATTGAGTGGTTGTGAACAATATCATTAACTAAATCAAACTTCAAAAATAAATTTTTCGAACTTTATGACATCCCCAACCATCCAATTTGACACTTAATTGCTAGGAGTAACTATGAGATCATTTTAAAAAGGATAAATAGTCACATAGTATATAATCCCTATTTTAAATCAAGGATATTCGTTTCATTTTATGATAAAAGGTACAGTTCCTGTAGGGCCGTAAAATTATCATAATTTTTTTTTTTTGGGTAGATCAGTGGGGAATACATGCTCCTACCCTTTTTTAGAAATAATCAGTGATTTTCGAATGCATTAACGGGAATGAAAAACAACACCTTAAAACTCCACGAGAAAAGGCAATTTTGGCCGAACCCTTGTTATAGCTTGAAGGTATGTTTCAACACATATTACTGAATTTAAAGCTTCAAAATAATAATGCAAACACTTAAAATATTTTGCCTCGAAAAAGTGCTACGACATTTTCAGGGCTTGAAATCACTTTTTTATATCCAATTTGAGGTGCAACTTTAAGAACCAGGACCAAGAAAATGCTTTCCCGGTGATAAATATGCTAATAAATAGGGAAAAGTATACAAGAAGACTATTTACTTTTAATACAAGGAAGTCACAATTATTCTTATCCGTCAAATTTCAAATGGTGTGGTTGTGCAGGTGTCATTTATTGGGCTTAGAGTTCAAAAAAAAAATTCTCGAACTTCGTAACACAGCCTAAGCCGTCAAATTTGACATCTAATAGCTTTGAGCAATTGTGCCCTACTTGTATTAAAGATAAATAGTCTCATAGTATACAATCCTAATAAATAACTATATCTTCTCTAATAAAAAGGTTTATATAAAGTTGCAATCGTAAAATGCAGAATTAAAGTGCACCTAAAATATCTATTGTAAAATACTATTTTGAAGTTTGAAAGCCCTCAAATAGATCATCTCGACATCAAAAAATGTGAATATGAAAAAACAAAAGGTGCTTAACTCTAAAAAATATTGTATCTCGCAACACATTATCTGGATCGTTCATTTTCAAGATTTCATGTGTTTATAAATCTACTGTATTTGAACCAATTTTTGTAAACCATTTTTGGAGTCTAATATTTTGTAATCAAAGATGAAAATAGATTCTCATGCCATCCTAAAAAGTTTTGACACATTTTGGTAATTAGAGATGAAAATGGATTCTCAGACTATCCTAAGAATTTTTAACACAAAAATTACACTTTATGATAAAAATTTGGTGGTGCACCTTACTTTGATGGTTTAAGGTATTATTTATAGGCTTTATGACAAATATTCGAATTATTAGACGGCTTCAAAAAAATTCCTTTCATTTCTTTCATATGGATATCGAGGCTCAAAAGTTCAAGAAACATATGTTTTTCTTCCAAGGAATAAATTCATAATTCAATCTAGTAAGGAACTCTATTTATAAGGTTCGTGAAAAATGTCGACTGATTCATAAGCGAGGACGGATTATAGTAATTTGTTCCAATGCAAGATACAAACATAAGCGAGGACGGATTATAGTAATTTGTTCCAATGCAAGATACAAACATAAACAAATAAAGGATCTATTTTAACCTTATGCAAAGCACATCAGAAAACTAGTAACGAAGGGAAGCATGCAAAAGCCATTGTACTCACATGGAATCGTCCTGGTAAAAGGTATTGCATAAGTTCATCTTTGATGGAAGTGAGATTACCTTCCTCAAGGACACAAAGTGACCTCTCGTCGTCGTGCTTTTTTCTTCTTTTTTTCACTTTAATGTTTGACCCATAAAAGCAGCCACGCTTTATTCTGAATGAGGAAAATATCAGTCCACGTGATGATAATTGCAAGAAATGCCAAAGGCCTTTGTCCTTTTTTTGGGTAGATGAGCGAGAAAGGAGTACATGGGTAGATGAGCGAGAAAGGAGTACACTACCCTTGGTAGAATTAAAGGAGGCCACGGGTCCGGTCTGGGTCTGGGTCTGTGTCTGTGTCCGACCCAACCCGAGTGAACCTGAAGTTATTGGACTCGGACCTAAATCCGACCGGACCCAATTGGACCCGACCAAAATAAATAACTAAAATGATTAAATATATTTAAATATTATGCTTAATATATACATGTATTATTTAAGTGTTATAACTAAAATACATAGCTCTACTTATTTAATTGTCGGGTGTCAGATCTCGGTTCATTGGCACCCCTAGGTAGCATGGAACTCAAGATGTTGTATTATAGATCCACCACCCTAACCACCTCTGTCTTGAGTGTGTTCCAAAATGCCTTGGCTTTTTGGCGCTACAGAATCATCCAAAACATGCATGATTATATTTTATGTATGCACGCACACATATTATCATCAGAGTATTTTTCTAACTATTTATGATCGGCTACATGAATCTTGATCTGCCATTTTATTTTATCAAAAAAAACAGATAACGTGGATTCAGGATTCATAAAGAGTTTTAACAAAGCTTTATATCGATTGCCAACCTAACACAGCCCACTTCTTTTACCCTAGTTTTATGTGCATGCAGATATATAGGTTGTATATAGCAACACCGTAGTTATTACTTATACAATTTATAAAATTGCGGGAGTATACTACACGCTTACTCCCTCAGCAAATTACCTTCTTAGGATGATCTTCCCAATTAGGGTTTATTTTCAAATCACCCAAAAAAAAGCCGATTTAGTTCCAAAAAATGGATAACCTATGCTTAATTTTAGAACATTACATTTAAGCCCACATGTTTCAATCTTTCTCTTCTTTCCTTTTTTTTTTTTTCCTTTTTTTTTCCCTATTTTATTATTATTTTTATTATTATTTTCTTCTTTTAGTTTGCTTGCAAGGTTGAGGAGGGTGGATCTTAAAAAACACTCCTACACATGCTTGCAGGGAGTTAATATACGATATGCTCCCATATGAGCATATAAGTTTATGTATTGTACACACCCCATCGACATTTTGGACAGTCATATCTAAGTGTTTAAGATTTAAAAATCCCTTACGTGGATCACAAAACATCGACCTAGGTAGCACTTTCACATGAGAGAGTAAATGCGCAATATGCTTAAAGCATTCACATGAATTGATAGCACCAAAAAGTCTCCCATAGAGCTAAAGACATTATCCACCAATTTATAAGAATTTATAAGAGTTTACTTGTCACTAAGTTGGTAATCACGTTTATGAAGCACCACACTTCTTGATTAGGCAAAAAGACAATTCAACAGATAAAACAGATGTTAACTAGATAGCCAATATTTATGCACGTTTGGGTTAAAAATTGGATCCTCGGTAACTACCAACTTTGTTTGTTTCAGGTAGTGGTTATAAAAAATAGATTAATGCGGTAGATCATCTACCCACTGATCATTTATTAGATTACGAAATCACCGATTTGAATTGGTTCGAATGAGCGATCCAAAAGATAGAAAAAACTAAACGAACTAAAAAAATAAGTTTGTGTCACGATTTACTAAGAAAAAAACTAAATAAATATTTTTTGTTTAGGAGGACCAAACCGGTATCAATTTCTTCCCATAATTGATTCGTTCAAGCTAATCATCTCAATTGGGTAATTTCTGACCTAGACTATAATTTTTAAATCACTTGTACTCACCATGAAACACCACTTTTCTTGATTGTTTAAAAGTCGAAAAGACAGTTCGTCACTTGCAACAATGGTTTAACTGAATAGCCAATAAGTAAGGATGTTTGATTATTTCAAAGTTAAAAGATGATTCATCAATTACACATGTTGCATGCAATTGGATACCCAATGTTCATGAACCTTTTGGGATGTCATGGGACGCAAATGTAGAAATGTGTCCTCCACTCACTTCAAAAGGCACGTGTTAAATGATATGTGCTATGTGAATGGAATTAGAAGGGACTCTTAGTGCTTGACTTGGGCGTAGCCTTTGTAAAGACTCTTCTCTTCTTTTTTTTTTTTGTTTTGTCATTGATTTAATTGAACTTGGGTTATGATTTTAAAGGCACACTTTAGTTTAATTGATTTCAGGGTTGATCATGAAAAGTTTTATTTTAATTCTTTATTGAAGCATGAACCAACCACAAAATAACTTTGATAAGAAAAAGTATACAAAGAGTCCATTTACTTTTAGCACAAGGAGGTCATAATCATTGTTGTTTTTTACATTTCAAATTGAGTGGTTATGAACAATGTCATTAACTAGATCAAAGTTCAAAAATAATTTTTTCGAACTTTGTGATACATCTTCAACCATCCAATTTGATATCTAAAAGTAATTATGACCTCATTTTAAAAAGGATAAATAGTCACATAATATATAATCCCTATTTTAAGAAAAGGAAATTTGTTCCATTTTATGATAAAAGGTACAACTGTAGGGCCATAAAATTATCATAGTTTTTTTTTTTTTTTGGTAGATCAGTGAGGAATACATGCCCATACCCGTTTTTAGAAATAATTAGTGGTTTTCGAATTCATTAACGGGATTTGAAAGCAACACCTTAAAACTCCATGAGAGAAGGCAATTTTGGCACTAGGAACCCTTGTTATAGCTTGAAGGTATGTTTCAACACATATTATTGAATTTAAAGCTCCAAAATAATATTGCAAA